GGAGTATTTATGATGCTCTAGTAGAACTCGGATGTGGTAGGGATGATATATAGTTTTTCTCCACTGGTGTAGCTCCATGAAATTTACTGTGACTCAGATCAGACTACTACTTCATGGGACATTCAGTGGAGTTCTGGCGCAATCACTCTCCCTTGTAGCCAGAGAGGTTCTGCAAATCAGACCTCAGAATATAGTTCCCTGACACCTGCCCTTGGTTGGCCAGGGTGGGATATGCAGGAAAGGGCCTTTGTCTCTAAAGTTGCTTAGCCACTCACTCAGTGCGTTTTTCATTTGACTTCTTGACACTGCTTGAGTTGAGTGCCAAGAAGAGAAGAGGCTCTTCCTGGCCCCTATGTGGTATGTGGTTTTCAAGATTCATTTCTGGTTACACTGAAATTCTGTGCAGTGATGAGTCCATTATCAACTATGAATCCCCCCACCTCCCTTTTGTGCTCTGCCATATGCACCACTCCCCCCCTCTTCAATTTTCTTGCTAGATTGTATAATGCTCACAATATAATCCATATAGGCCCTTTCTCTTTCTTTAGCTATCATCTCAGGCCACTGCATGGCATTCTGTGTTGGAGCAAGGCACTCCACTTTGTGCTGAACTTCTGGGCTCTGTTTTTCTTTCTACTTTCTTTGTCTGTGCATGTGCTTTGTTTTCTCTTCCGCTCAAAGTTTAGTTCCTCTCTCGAGCTACCCACCTCGGGGAATGACTACTCTTCCACTAGCCTCATGCTACTTCTTAAAATTTCCAGCCTGAGTAAGGATGTGCATCGGTATTGACTGCCATCCTCTCCCTCTGTAAGATGGGTCTGCTTCATCTACTGAAATAAAGCATCGTCCTCTGCTTAGCATTCAATATAATCCTTCACTAGAGCTCATTTAGAAGACACAAATAATGTTATAAATAGTCCCATAGGTCAGAGACTGTCAACAGGGTGTCACCATTCCTAGAGAAATATTTTGGAAATTAATGAGGGCTCTTGAGAGTGTTATAATGAAAAAGGTGCAATTAACGCCAACAAAGGGGGGGGTGGCATAGACACTATGTGTTCTCTAGTACACTAGACAGTTCCAAACAATGATAAATGATCCCATGTCCCAGCAGATATTCAAGGGAGTGGAAAATGTTTTATTTTTCTGAACCAACAAGCTCCACTTTGCGTGTGAACACAAAGTATCTCTTACAGACTTTTATTAACCCCCATTCTTTAACAAAATAAATGCTCATAAAGAGGTGTGTTTTTCCTTATTTTGGAAAATCACCTCTGTCAGCGAGGCCATAATTCAGAAACCTCCTAAACAACACATGGAGATTATTTGTACATGTTTCCATCCAGCATCCAATTTCTTCACTCTGTGTTCAGGCGTGCCGTGCCCCACTGTGTACATGTTGAAACATACAATGTTTTATTATAAATCGCGTTCCTTGTAACTCTCTTATGGAATTACAGTTTCAACTAAACTGTTACATTCTTTACATTGATTTTCTTTTTTTGAATTTTATGTGTATGAATTAGCTGCCACCACTTTCTTTTTTAGTAAAGACTAACAGGAAACATTTCAGGGTTTGCAAGCCAAATGACTTCTCCTACAGCTTTTTAGACATCATCCTTCCAAAGAAAGGAATTGGTTGATAATGTATAAGCAAATAAGTATAGTGAGCCAAAATGATTTGTGAACACTGAAGTTTAAATTTTATATAATTTCCATATCATAAGTTATTGCTAGTGTTTGATTTTTTTCAAGCATTTAAAAATGCAAAACCATTCCTGGCTCTTGAGCCCTGCACATGTCTTCCCAGTAAGAGCTAGTTTGCTAATTGAATCTTCATAGTGTATTACAGGCAAGTTTTGTGAACAGAAACAGTAATATGAGAAATTGTATTTTGTTAATTTCTTGATTATGATATAATTAAAGTTTTATGTTGAACTTTAAAAATATATGCAAATTCTCTAATAAAATGTTGGGGTTACTACACTAAGGGTAGGACCCACATCAGTACCTCTGTCAACCCTTATCAAAGAAGTTACTTCTTGCAATAGATGGGAATTAAAACAGAGACACACCGCTGTATAGTATGAAAAGAGTGAAAGACTTTGGAGCACTTGGTCCTAAAATTCTTTATCAAATCCCTACCTTCAAAACTCTATGAGAAAGAGGAGGTAGAAATATGTAAAAGCCAGAAGTTATGGGTGACTCCATAGAAAGAGTGCCTTCTGCATACAACAGTACTGTTGTACATATGAACTGACAGAGACTGTTGCAGCATGCACAAGACTGCACAGGTTTAAGGCAGATGGGGTCACAGCACTGAGAAGGGGAGGTGGACACAGGGTTCCACCCCTAAAATAAGCTATTTGTAATTGATACCTGTTGGCAAAGGGAAAAAATCAGTTTTCTCAAATGGAGTGTCACTGGAGATATCAAACACAGAACACTGCAGACCCCATGCTCAGTAACTGGCCAACACAAAATTAACTTCATGTTTTTGCTCTTGTTTATTGGGAAGTATTTTGTGGTGGTTGTTGTTGTTGTTGTTTGTTTATTTGTACATGCGTCAGTCCTATTGTGTTCCAAAGACACTGTTTCCTTGAAGTCATTGGTAACTTGTGGCTCTTACAGACTTTTCCCACCTTCTCTTTATCATAGATCCCTGAATCTTGAGGGGAGGTGTTTGATAAAGACATCTTATTTAGGACTGAGTGTTCCAAAGTCTTTTACTCTCTATACATTGTCCAGTTCTCTCTCTCTCTCTCTCTCTCTCTCTCTCTCTCTCTCTCTCTCTCTCTCTCTCTGTGTGTGTGTGTGTGTGTTTGGTCTTACTTGTTTTTATTTGTTTTGCTTTTGTTTTTAACATTTTTATGTTTGTTTATGAGAGATAGAAGACATAAAGTTGAGTGGGTAAGGTGGTGGAAATGATCTCAGAGGATCTGAGAGAGAGACAAGGACGTGATCAAAATATATCATTTAAAACAATTTTGTTGATATATCATATATATTTCAGCTAGAGGCTGGAGAGATGACTTGATAAAAAACACAGATTGTTGAGTCCACCCCACGGAACCTCATTTAAATGATGAAACATAACCAAGACAATCCCCAACAACTGGCAGTGAAAGTAAATACAGAAGGCTTACATTCTCAACAGTCTTGACATGATAAAGCACACATGTGTCTTGATAAGACTGAAAGGTTCCTGTCTGAGATAATGAAAACTTTCCTGAATTATCTCTAATGTATTCACTGGTAGATGAAATTCAGGACCAATGCTTTCAAGGTTGCAAAAATACAAGTCTTTTCCAAACTACCTAGAGAACCAGAAGGGTCCAGATCGAGTTTCATTTAGTAAAATATTAAGGTTTAGTTTTGATCTGTTTTGAAAAGTTGTATTATCTTTGAATTACATTTAACCTGCACCCAGCTAAGTGTTACACAGTGTTTCCAAAAAGGGGGGGGCAGGGCTATTAGGCTTGATTGCATTATATGTCATCTCTATTCATGTCATGAATTTCTAAGCCTTTGGAATCTCCCCTTGTTCCTGTGGCAGTGGCCCATCAATGTATTGAGGAAGAGAATGAAGCAGTATCTATCATGCAGTGCTGATGCTCAGAGAAAAAAACTATCAAAATGCTTTCTGAATCCTAACCCCTTTTTCTCTAGCACAGAGGGATAGTCTTTGTCCATCCACTCCATCTGTTTTCTGGAGCCGGTCATGCCTTCAGGAACTTCAAGTGCAATGCAAACATCTGGACTCTATAACACACGGGAATCCAGAGTGCCCAGAAATCTGGTGCATGTTGCTGCATCTACTCCCTAGACTCAGGCTGAGCCACTTGTAGCTGATGATATTCCAGACCTTCCCAGCAGTTCTTTGTTACCCTTCTGTATGTCTCCAAAGTCCCAAGCTCCACTGTCAGTTTCAGGTTGGACTTCTCTTTTGTTTGTCTTCTGTCAACTGCTACCCTTCAACCATGGTGTCACCAGCTGCAAGGTTCCAGTCTCATAGGCACAGAAAAACATTACAGGTGCATCTGGAATGCAGAGGGATTTAGCAAGTCCCTTGTCTACACAAAGCCTTGCTTTCAAGCCTGACATCCTATACCCATCCTCTGTAACACAAAATGATGCATCTCAAAGATAAGATTTAGAAAAGGGAAGTTGAATAAAACAAACATAATAAATAAAGGTTTAATGTTCGGTTTAATCAAAACAGGTTGCAAGTTTGGTTGCATCTCCTGAGTCTTCTTCACCATAGCTGAGAACTAAAATACAAATACAGTTTAAACAAACAAGGACAGAGTTCTTACACACTCTTTGAGATTTGTACGCACGTGAGTCCAACAAGTGGTGTGTTTCTGTGTGTATCTGTGTGTGTCTGTGTGTAAAGTCAAGAAGATAGCAGGTAAATAAGCCAAAACATAGTCACTGTGTCTTTACTGCCATAAAAATACCTAAATACCTTAAAGAGCTTGTCTGGAGGTTCAATCAGAAAAACAGTTTCTCCTATATCCTTGACCTAAAAAGACAAGTCCTCCTGTGTTTTGGGGAGGTCATCCTCTTTAACTGAGTATGCTGCTTTAGGAACCATGCTGTGTTCGGAGGATTTTTGTTGCTGTTATTATTTTTCTTGTTGTTTTTTTTATTTTTTTTTATTTTGAGAGAGAGAGAGAGAGAACATCTAATTGGATGCTTAGGGAGATGTAGGGATCTGGGAGGAGTTGGAGAAGAGGAAAGAATATTATTAAAATGTATTGTATGGAAAATTCTTTTAAATAAAAATTTTAAAATATCCAAATAGCTATAAAAATCTATGACAAGAAATTTACAAGCTAATTGTACATTTGAAGGGAAAAAAAAGGAGAAGATTGTTAAGGATTCTGGCTTTGGAGTAGTCAAAGGTGATCTTATGCTTACTTAGTATTTTTACTTAGCAGTCAGAATGTGGCTCTTGTGCTATATCTTAATCTACCTTCTGTTTGTTTCTCCTTTAGCTCAACAGAATTCACCAAAAATCCATGAAGGCTGGTGGGCATACAAGGAGGTGGTCCAGGGAAGCTTTGTTCCAGGTAAATACACTTTTATTTTTATCTATTATTTCAGCTCATTTTGTTCCTTAAACATTTTTAAGGAGATAGAAATACTCAACACCCCATTTATCAGTTTACTAGTCATACCTCATACTCCTATGTACTCGTAAAGTAATTATAAAACAGAATTTGATGAACATCAGTGTTATTTCGACAATGTCACGTTGACTACATGGCCTGAAACTTATAGTGAAAGTCAGGAGAGTCTATAAAGTGCTGGAAGAGTATTGCATACATTAAGGGAAGGTTTATTTGGGGAGCCCTAACTTATATGTAACACATTATTTTTCTGTGTAAGCCTGTAAGCCTCAGGTTAATCCATCAATAGGAGCCTCCTCTAAAGAGAGGGAGAATAGAAGGCTGAGAGCAGAGGCTCTCTGCCCACACTTGGTCAAGAGAGAAAGGACTGTTCTTAACACTAATGAAACAGGAAACTTGAACAGACTGACCACGGCAATGAAGCTTGCTGGGATACATGCTGTCACTGATGTCACTGCATCAGAATCGATGCTCAAGACTCAGCAGATCAAGCCAAGCGCCATCTAAAAATAACAGGTCATGTGTGGATACAGTCAGCATGCGGGCGGTGAACTGAGCACCAAAGGCAGGCGGCAGCCAGAAGCACACTGTGACTTCAGTTGAAAAGGAAAGCAGAGGGTCCTTTCTCTACCACGTCCCTTACTCATAATGATCCTATTCTTTACATAATAGGTGGAATTAACAACTTGGCATTAACCACAAAAACCATAGACCATCCCGCAAGATATCAGAAAGGGAGGGAAGCAAAGGAAGGAATGAGAGTTTAAAGGGAAAAAGACATGGAAGGGCAGCATATCTCCTGGTATTTTTAGCTTGCTAGATGCGAGAGAGACAGAAAGGCAGCTCCCAAGAGCTTCAATGTATGGTCCGCACTCACCCGTGGTGCTCAGAACAGAAGATCAAAAGAGCTGGCTGAGGTTTCCAAACTTGGTCACAGGTAAAATGTGCACTGTCCCCGGTCATCTGTTCATTCTCGACTGCTCTGTCTTTTTACCTATTTCTTCTGTGGAGCTTTTCATATAAGCTGGGCAAAGAGAAGGAGCTTGCGAAATTCCTTTCACCATTTCTGTCGTGGGACAACAATAAGTATTGCTGGGCTTGTTTCTTTGGAGGAAGACATGCATGGTAAAGGAGAGTGGGTGACTCAGGAAAAAGCCAGCTGGCTGCTGGAGAGCCTCAGCGCTCTACAGTCCAAACTTCACAAGCATGCCACGGCACATGGCACATTGTTCTTCAGCCCAGTGTGCACAGAGACTGAATTTAATTCGCCCACCAGTGGCCAGGTTTCTAATAGCAATTGTGTAAGTTGTATGCACTATGTCTTCTTAAATGGGTATAGATACCTCTCACTGGATATTCATAGTTGGCAGAATCCCTGTATATGATATAAAAGACTTAAAGACGTGTATTTTGTCAAGAGAAACCGTTTTTATACGCATGATAGTACAGAAATTATATTACCCATTATATTTTGTGTAACTGGGAATATGGGATTAGAGCAACTGAGGAGAGTCCCTCATTTCTAAATTACTTCTGCCTCTCTAGAGAGCACCTGCAGTGATTGTCATACCCTTAGGTAGAATGTGGTTCTGTAGCATTTTGCCAAACTTATACTATTTGTTTTGGTTTTTATATCCTCTTTATATGTGTCCAAAACCCTAGTGTGACTTCTTTTATGCTTTCGAGACTACCTTGGGTAACAATTATCTTTCCTTTGATGCTGACTCAAGAGTTTTACTTTTCTTCATTTCCAGCTTGGTATGCATACAAGTTGTGGCTATAGAACTTGTGTTGGAGAGAAACACATAAAGGCCACAGCAGTGGCAAGAGAAAGGTTAACTTGGTGCCCAAATGCCCTACTTTGGTCATTTTGGTGGTGTTTATGCAATACTTCCATGATGCAGAGCCCCTTGTTTGGGGATAAAGAAGAGGAACTGGCTCACAGCTCTTACTCAAACTGAACTCGCCATCCAAAGGGCTAGATAGACCATAAAGGCATAGCTCCAGAGAACCAGTTCTGTCACAAGGCTGATAATGGTGTAGAATGGCATGGTTCAGCCTGTGTGGTATGTATCAGAATTTCTTGCTGAGCAGCTTAGAATAGGCCTTCCAATAGCCTCCCCCTCAGCAGGCTCTGCTTTGCAAGCAAAGCCCAGATTTTGTTGGACTATTCACCCTGCACACAACTAATATCTACAACGACAGTAGGGATTTCTTTCTTCTTCCTCTTCTTAATTTTCCTACATATTATTCACCCTTCTTCCTCTTCCTTCTTTTCTTCTTTTTGCCAGCAACACTGTAATGACTAATTTACGTAACGAATAGAACATAGAGCATGCTACCAGACATTTAGTAAGAAATGTTCTGGTGTCTGTTTGTCTTCCTGCCTCTCCCCTACCCTGCCCCTGTGTGTGTGTATGTGCGTGCACGCGTGTGCATATGTGCACGTGAGTGATTGTGTCCTTCCACATCCTTCCTTCAGTTATTTCATTAGTTCTCTTTCTCTGGACAACTGACCAACACACACAACAGATTACTGGTTCTGTCTGTGCCATAGTGTGAAAGGAAGTCTGCTGAATAAACTTGAGTACTAAAGCCACAGCCACAGTGAAGACAGCAGAATGGAAATATAGAAAGGTCACTCTTATTATTTAAACCATTTTCTTATTATTCTGTGTGCAATGTGTGTGTGTGAGAGAGAGATGGTGGAGAATATATGTGTGTGTATACATATATGTGTGTGTATACATATATGTACATATATATATGTATACACACACACACGCACATACATATATGTCACTGGGCTCCAACTATAGTAAAGGTGTCGTGGGAAGGGGATGCCACTTTCCTCAGTGGAGTAGCCACGGATAAGTTGCGCAGCTCCAGTCAGTAACCTCCCACCCACCCTCAATGAGCCACACACAAAAGGAGGATTAAAAAGTTCAGTGCTCAAGGGACTTGTTGAAAAGAAGGACTCCAGTGAAAGGGGGAGTGGCGAGGAGAGGATGTGGGGGATGAAATGACTAGATCTCATCATAGAAATGTGTGAAACTGTTAAGTACAAAAGCAAAATAAATAGCATATATATGTTCACACAAAAAAAAACAATATTAGGCTAATTATGCTGTTGAGGAGTTAGCAGAAAGTTTGTTTGGTACCATTTGAATTATATTTATTAAATAATAAAAATGTGTGTTATAAATATATCACACATATATAACACATTTTTTAATTTAGTGTAAATACACACATGTCTTTAACACACTTCTGGAATGTGTGCCAAACACTGTCTATCCATGTTCTACTTGTTACAAAATGAGCATCTTCCCTTAGAAGGAGACATTATGCTGTGGGATGTTATGGCATACAGTGATGACATTTCACTTCTGGGGCTTGCAGTATAATAAGGGAGCCACTTGTTAGAAAAATTACGCAACCATTGAACACCCCAATAATCTGCTTTGTGTGGTAAGGTTCTCAAGGGAAGTCTCTTTTTCATCCTAAAACAAAATGACCTGTGCTTGCTTCCCTTCTAACGCTGTGAATCACACCCATGGATTATGTATTTTCTCAAACTTATGAAGCTCTGGAGAAGGTGAAAACCCCTCTTAGATTCTGTCAGCTGCTAAGGCTCACCCCAGGTCCCTAGACCCAAGCCCCTCAGCACAGTGACCCAGGATGCTCTCCTTTGACCTCCCTAGAAAAAGTAATATTTGGCACTGAGATACGATTCTAAAGAGCTTACCCTGGCCTCAATCTCAGGAGGCAAGGGGAGAAAGACAGATAAATGGCTGCTATCTTACAATGTGTCCAGGACTCTTCTCAGAAATGTTTGGGAGTTACTAACCCTCAGAAGGGGAGGCACAGCCCTGAGGATCAGTAGCACTCTAGAGAAATGGAATTTCAGAAAGAAAAGCAAAATAGGCAAAGGTTTGGAAACCTTGAAAGGTACATGGCCCAGTAGAACAAGAGGAGCTCTGGGCATTAACACTTGAGAGCAACAGGGGTCTGATCTTGAAGTGATGTACTACTTGATATTCTAGAAGCCAAAGATCCTGAAGAAACAAGGAAGAGATTGACAATATTGCAAAGTTCAAGCAAAAAGAGATTATTTGAACTAAGACAGAAACAGTGAAGGTTTCAAGAACAGGGGTCCTCCTCTCCTCTTATCTCCTGCACCATCAGGATATAGCACAGGCCTTCCCTACAATAGTCACTGCACATCTACTTAATTGACTTGGGTCAGAACAAGCACATAAGAAAGAATAGGATAAAAACTCTACAGACATGATCCTCAGCCCTTGAAGTGATGATGATGATGATGATGATGATGATAATGATGATGATGATGATAATGGCAATGATAACAGTATGAACTCCAATGCATGCAAAGGGAAATCACTGTTTTTCTCCATTTTATTTTGTATCTAAGAAGCATGTATACTAGACATGTGTTGAAGTCAACAAACAATTTTGTGGAGTCAGTTCTTGCCTTGCACTTTTTGTGGGTTGTGGGTATCAAATTGGGATCATTAGGCCTGCAGAATACGCACTTTATCTGAGGATCTCTCTTGCTGGCCCAACACTGTACGCTTTAAGGACGTGCTTCTCAACTTGTGGGGCACAACCCTTTTGGCAGTCACATATCAGATATTCTGCATATCAAAAATTTACATAACAAGCAATAAGAGTAGCAAAAATTACAGTTATGAAGTAGCAACAAATAATTTTATGGTTGGGAGTCACCACAACACAAAGAACTGTATTAGTAGGTTACAGCATTAGGAAGGTTGAGAACTACTGTTTGAAAGTCTAGTAGAAATAGTCTAAAATTCAGGGAGTCCCTACCTATAAAGCCACAGCAAGTTAGAACCAGAGATTAGCCAGGACACTACCTACTAGTCTAATAAATGGACTCAGAGAAGGGTTTCAGGTCA